GTTCTGAGCAGACCTGCAGTAAAGACTGACTGCTGGGGGCTCCTCCTCATTTGGTTTTATGTTTGATTATCTCCTGAAGAGGACCACCCAGTTGGAGACCAATTAGAACTCTTCTTCTCCTCATCAGTGGCGCCACAACTCAAAAGACTGAATTACAAGAGGACACCTGTCAATCTCTTTAATTAACAATGATCTGAACATGCATGGACACACCCCCCACCACCACCACCACCAATGCACAAAAGCTAACAAAGGATTAAATCCTGAAAACACGCCCTGTCCTCGCTGCTAAAGCAAGATTACAACCTGCTAACAACTACATGCCCCTGGGCCTCCATCAGAACCACATCAGTCAGAGTTTAAATGGGTCACAGAAAGTTGGACTTTATGTGACTCAAGTGGACAGAATTCTCTGGTTCTGTTCCAGCTCAGATTTTTACAAACTGCATCATAAGAAATAAAAGAAGAAATATATAAATGGCCCAATAAACAGATAAATAGGCTTAAAATGCACTGATTAAAGAACTTCACCTCATGTTTAAGTTTAAAGTTCAGTTTAAAACAAAGGCACAGGTCAGTGTTTTCCTTCTTGTCTTCGTTTTAAACTAAACTTTAAGCTCAACTGAGGCAGCATAGGAATGAACAGGGATCCTGCTACTTCCTGTCTGTTGACCAATAAGAGAGGAGCTGACCCAAGGAGGATCGCCCACACCTTACTGTGGAGGAGAGTAAAACATCACAGGACTTCCTGTTTGTGGCCTCAGTCCAGCAGGACTCTGAAGGTGTTGGATTGAAGCTCCAAACTTTGGTGTCACAGGAAGTCAGAATAATACAGACCACCAGCAGAGACAGGCTGCTGGGAACAAAGCCCCCCTGCAGGTTTCAGAGGCAGCATGTTGACATCTGCCTGTAGGGGGCCGCCAAGTGTCAAAGAAAGAAGTTAACTGTCCTCTTCAGACAGAATCACCCCTCACTGCCACCCTCTCTTATTAGAGGGAGCTACTGTGTCCAACAGCACACTCCCAGTGTTGCCAGATAAGGCAGGTTTCCACCCAAATGAGCTTCTTTTGAACAAAGCTTTGGGCAGTTTGTCCAAATCTGGGCAGCTTTTTACCACATTTGGTGGGTTTTTAGAAAGTGGGTGAGTTTTGCATGTGACCAACGTTGTTTGTCCACCATGTGGAAGCAGTGCTTATAAGGCTGAGATCACCTGAAACTCCTCAGACTGAAGCAGTCTCTCAGAGGAGAGACAAAATGTTTCATTAAAGAAAAACCCGTCCAGAGGACTTACTTATTTTTCTACCTGGATTACTGAGATGCATCAGGATGTTTTTAAAAAGTATTCACAGGAAAACTGCATCAAAATATCAAGTGTCACTATGAAATGGTACTGGTCTATGTCAACTGTAAACGCACCAAATGGGAAAGAGACTGGGATTCTGAGATCCTGAGGATGAACCCCCTTCGTCTGCAGAAAAATCCAAGGGATATTAGTCCACTTTTGTTATGCACCCCCAGACATTTTCAATCTGATTCATCACGAGTTTTCACTCAAAAGATAAGTGTCTTTTTAACGAGTTTAAATTGAGTTTGGGATTTGGGATGGGTATGCTTGAGTTAGGCGGGCTTTACGTTGTGTTTGAGCTGGAAACTATCAGTCTGATCAGGCAACCCTGGCCACTCCACGGTCTCATTATGGGGCTTGGTCCTCCACAATACTAATCACATACCCCCCACACCCCATCCCAAAAATTCACACAAAGGCCTGCTGTGGTGATTACTGAAGATAGAGGGCTGGTCTGTGTGAAAGTGTTCCTGGAAGAAAAGCTCCAAAACAAAGACTGCTTGTATCTGCAAAGGTTGTATCTCTGGAAAAAAGTTAACAAAAGTACGGCAAACAGAACATAATCCACCCGTCAGTAAATTATCAGACTAATCCCCTCAAACAACAATCCAGAATGTGTCTATTAAATATATGAAGGAATGAATTTATTGTCATTGTATGGAGTACAAGATTGAAGTTCGGAACAACCCATCCAAAAGTGAGACAAACACAACAAACAGGAGAACAGGAGCCCAGGTCTTGCAGCCATTAAGATGTGCTACCCTTAAGACAAAAGAAAAGCAAACATCAGGATAGGTGAGGATAAAAAATCTCATACTCTGTCCCCAACAAGGAAACAATATGGGTTTGAAAAAAAAACCCTCTGCATAGAGCACACTTAAGCATAGGTTTGGGGTTAGGGATCATGGATAGAGTAGGGAAGTCGTAAGGGAGGGAGAGGTGGGGCATGAGGGGAAGGAATGGAAGGAAACAGGGCATGGCCAGGCTTTCACCCATGGAACCCGGTCGGGCACAGCCCGAAGAGAAGACATGGGTCCACCTTCCCATGGGCTCACCACCTGTGGGAGGGGCCGTGACACACTATGGTGTTTATAAAAAACCTCTGCAAACCTCTGCACCTTTGCATTTATTAGCCAGAGGAGAAAGGTGAGTTTAGGGGGCCATGTATCTGAAGCCATGATTGTTGTATGCACTTGTGTGAATATCTACAAAATGAGCCCAAAGAATCGAGTCCTCAAAATCCGCCCAGCCATAGTTCAGAATATTGATGTTAACTGTTCATTCTGTGCGGCCCTCAGCTTGCTCCAGGAATCAGATCACAGATGGGTGTGAGAGGGGTGAAAGGTGAGGGACAGACCCTCAGTCGAGGTAAACATCCAGGAAAAATTTAGTTCCACAGCTCAAGGCCATGTAGGGGACAGCCAAATTTGTAGTCAGTTATTTGGGAACAGAAGAAACTGTTTTCGGTCAGGCAGACAATAACAATTTTCCATCTGCCTTTATGTCCGCTGGTACATCCAATGTGGCGAATCCAATCAGACAAATAATGTGGGCAATCTCACAGAGCCGAGCTATCAGCTTCTCCAAGATAAATTCCATCTCATCAGTAAAATCCAGGAACCACAGCCTGCCCACAACCCTCAGCAGAACCGCTTGCAGACCGAGTTCCAGCTCGCACAAGGCAAAAGTCTGAGTGCTGAAAGAACGGCAATCCTTCATATTGGTCAGGCAGCCAGGAAATGAATACCACCAAGCCAATCTCTAGAATCCAGTGATCATAATCCAAATATAAATCCAGAACAGAGGTCCCGCCTTTGACATGTCCTCCCATGGAAGAAAACTTTGTTCAAAATTTTATTAAGAGACCAGCTAACCAAATCCATAAAAATATCCATAATTTCTGGTTTCGGATGAAAACGTAGAGGAGGCAGGGAGAGCGAGAAGAAAGTGTCTTACTCCTCCGAGAGCAGGAACAAAAAACAAAGGACTTATGTTGGAAGTGTTGGTGGGTGTATTTGAAGGACTTTTGTTGGAAGTGTTGGTGGGTGTATTTGAAGGACTTTTGTTGGAAGTGTTGGTGGGTGTATTTGAAGGACTTTTGTTGGAAGTGTTGGTGGGTGAATTTGAAGGACTTTTGTTGGAAGTGTTGGTGGGTGAATTTGAAGGACTTATGTTGGAAGTGTTGGTGAGTGTATTTGAAGGACTTTTGTTGGAAGTGTTGGTGGGTGTTTATAAAAGACTTATGTTGGAAGTGTTGGTGGGTGTATTTGAAGGAAGTGTTGGTGGGTGTATTTGAAGGATTTATGTTGGAAGTGTTGGTGGGTGTATTTGAAGGACTTATGTTGGAAGTGTTGGTGGGTGTTTCTGATGGACTTATGTTGGAAGTGTTGGTGGGTGTTTCTAAAG